AAATCTTCACTGTAAACTTTTGCAGAGCTCTCCTGAAATCAAGATTCCTCATACAAATCTTGGTCATTTATATTCTGGAGACAGAGCACATCCTATTAAAGAAAGAACTTGGAGAGCTGCACTTGAAGAGTCTAGGGTCCTCTGCTTGTTTGCATTCTCTTTTATCTGCTATGCTGTATCTTTATTAAAAGATTTTGTAAGCATTCTCTATCAAGTCTTATGCATCATTTCAATGACATGATCCTGTGAAATCTTTACAACTATTTTCTTATAAGATCATTATAAAGATTAAATAGTGGTACTTGGCTCAATGTTTGTACTCAATAAATGCTGGTTATTATATTAGTTAGATCAATATGCAAGAGAAATGCTTTGTTAGGTCTCCTCGAGCAGTGTCCAGACTTAACAAACATACCACATTATAGCTATTGAAATTTTACTTAGTGCTAAGTAATTAGAGAGGTGGGAAGGATGATGGAGTCACTAGAACAATAAATGGAAAAACTCAGTAATAAAAATAAACCTGCACTTTCCTGAAAACAGGTTGAGGAAAACATGAAAAAATAATTCAAATTATCTAATGTTCAGTTTATGACCCGGAGGGGTAGCTTTTTTATTTTAATTTTTTTAAGTATAATTGACATGCAATATTACGTTAGTTTCAGGGACACAACATAGTGACTCAACATCTCTATAGGTTATGCTATGCTCACTACAAGTGTAGCTACCGTCTGTTACCATATAATGCTATTATAATATCATTGACTATATTCCCTATGCTGTGCCTTTTATCCCCACAACTTATTCACTCCGTAACAGGAAGACTGTATCTCCCACTCCCCTTTACCGATATTGCTCATCCCCGTGACCCCTTCCTTCTGAGAGGTATGACTTTTAAAATGTGACAATTTGAATCAAAGAATATACAACATCCTACTGGACTATAGTCATACAGACCTGAACTTGAATCTCAGCTTTGCCTCTTACTGTCTTTGTGACCTGAGACTAATTATTTTTGAATCTCAGTTTTCTAATTCTAAGGAAGATTATTACACTATTATATAAGACAGAATTATTTTACAACTAGACTGGGCCAGCCCTATGCTTATTTCTGGGGTTGCCAGTCTAATACTGGTTCTTTTTACTTACTAATATGACACATTGGGAAAACATAATCACAAACAATGGGCACAGTCAGATACTCCATCTTTGTAGGTGCTAAGTGATATAAGGCTATAGGATAGAAGACCAAATTTGGCAATAAAACCAGGACTTAAAAACATTCTGATATTTGATTAAAAGAAATAATTCAAGAATTATACCATTCTGGAAAGAACCGTGACCTCCAGATAAACAAGAGGAGAAACAAAATGGACCCATGCTTAAATTCATTCTGCTATATAACCATACCAAAAAGGACCATTATT